TGATTCCTTTTTTTACAAATCTATATATTTTGTTCCTTCATTTCATATAGTAATTTCCAAAGTTCCCTGGATATACAAAATAAGTCAAAAAAAAAAAAAAACCAATAAAATAAAACCAAAAGAAATAAATATAAAGGCATACCGAATCTTTGGCATTACTTTGGTCTTCATCCATTCACCATACCCTGTGTTCAAGTAGCTGGTAGTTAGGCGCATTCACATCATTAAGCCATTGAGACATAGTTTTCTTAAAGAAAGAATAAATCACCTTCGTTGGCCACTCAATGTTTGTTATGTGAAGGACTTTTAAGGCATATTTCATTTGACAGGATAACTTGATCTGTGCCATTGCACGTTCATAATTATGTTTCATTTGGTTTTAAAGCATATGAGTAGTAACCACTTTGATAAACAAAAGTTCAAGTCTTTGATCTTAATATGAAATTAATATTTTTAAGTTGATAAGTACTAATTTAATTAAAATCTTATTAGTGAGACAAAATATATATAATTACAAGAAACATTTTAATTATAGACAATTACCTTCTTTAAAAAATAAAATAAAAATGACAACAACTTACGTTAACTTTTTTATAATTCTCTTCAAAATGCATCAAGGCATTCCTTGTAAACCTTACAATATCTGAACCTGCTAAATAATGAAGAGATTCCTCACACGTTCCTTTTGTTGAAGCCAACCCATGACTTGGTCCAATTTTGTAGTGAAGGATTTGTTGATAAACATCTTTGCTTGGTGATGTGTTGATTTGACCTTGAAAGTGCATCTAATTAAAATCTTTTTCTTCTTCATTCAGCCAACCGTTTAATCCATAGCGAAAGACGATATCATTGATCAATAACAAAAACCTTTTTTTTGTTAGCAAGATCATAGAAAATTGGATGTTTATAGCATAATTCTCAATTCAAAATCCCAAAATGAACGTTGAGTCTTGTCATGTGGCCCTTTAAATGCATACCTGGTATGAATTTCAAGTCTTATTTGGTGGACAAAGAACGGGTTTTTCAAGAATGAAACCTGGGCTTTGATACCATGTGAAAATTATGCATGCGAGCTCAATAAAAGGTTTGCATTCAACCTAAAACCAATTGACTATAGGTGAAATAGTCATCCTTATATTTAACCTACATACTTCTTCATTATATATTTGATGTGGGATTTCCCACTTAAACATACCCTGTCACGTGCAAGCCCACTATCATGGTATCAAAACCCATGCTTCATTTCTAGAAAGCCCATTCTTTGCCCACCAAATAAGACTTGAAGTTCATGTTGGGCTTGCATTTAACAGGACATATTAAGCTACGTGACAAGAGCTAACGTTCATACCAAGCTTACACATGAGGAGGCGTGTTGAGTGAGAAAATCCCACATTGATGATATAACAAGGAAGATTGTGGGTTAAATATAAGGAAAACTACTCCACCTATTGCCAATTGGTTTTAGGTTGGATGCAAAACTTACGTTGGCCTTGTATGCATAATTTTTACATGGTATCAAAGCCTAGGCTTCATTTTTGGAAAGCCCATTATTAGCCCACCAAACAAGACCCATTAAGTCACATGATAAAATCCAACGTTCATATTGGGCTTGCATGTGAAGAGGCATGTTAATGATATAACAAAGAAGCTTGTGGGTTAAATATAAGGTTACTCCACCTATTTTCAATTAGTTTTAACTTAGATGCAAGTTTGTTTTGAGTCCATATGCACAATTTTCACATGGTATTAGAGTCAGGCTTCATTCCTGGAAAGCTCGTTATTAACCCACCAAATAGAAACTATTAAGCTACATGATGAGCCGACATTCATATTGGACTTGCATGTGAAAGGGTGTGTTGAGTAAGCAAATCCCACATTGATAATATAACAAGGAAGCTTGTGAGTTAAATATAAAGCTACTCCATTTATTATCAATTACTTTTAACTTGGATGCAAGCCTTGTGTTAAGTCCGTATGCATAATTTTCACATGATATTAGAGCCCAAACTTCATTCCTAAAAAGCCTATTCTTAACCCACCAAACAGGATCCATTAAGCCACGTGATAAGAGTCAGCATTCATACTAGGTTTACACATGAAGGGATGTATGGATTAAATATAAGAAAGACTACCCCACCTATTGCCACTTAGTTTTAACTTGGATACAAGCCTTGTGTTGAAGTCCACATGTAGAATTTTCACATGGTATTAGAGCCAAGGCTTCATTTCCAGAAAACTCATTCTTAACCCACCAAACAAGACTCGAAGTTCATGTCGAGCCTGCATTTAATGGGGCATATTAAGTCATGTAACAAGGCTTGATGTTTATATTGGGCTTGCACGTGAGGGGGTTGTTGAGTGAAAAAATCCCACATCCTTGATATAACAAGAAAGCTTGTGGGTTAAATAGAAGGAGGGTTATTTTACCTATTGTCAATTGGTTTTAGGTTAAATACAGGTCTTGTGTTGAAGTCCACATTATAATGAAATGTAGATTTTTCCATTTTCTTAGCAACAAAACATTATGGAAAAAAACAAAAGAAAAAATGAAGAAGAAAAGCATTAGGGAAAGGCTTTATGAATATTACAAGTGTGATCTTAACAAGAATTATATATATATATATATCTTTATTTTGATAAAGGTAGTAAGATAATAATATAAGAGGATTTAATATTTTCAAGTGGCTAATCTAAAGATGCTTGAAGTTGGGCATAGATCCTATTTACTATGAGTTTAAAAACAATCGAATTTCTAATCCATGTCTTTAAGTGTACTCTTTTTTTCTCAAAATATAGGTGTCATAACTCAAATTTTCATCAAAAAGAAAATATATTTTAATTAGCCTTATTGATGAGTTTAATTTTTATATGCATTTATCTATCCTTTTTGAGCCTAGAATTAAATTTTATGGGTCTTTTGTAACTTAGTTTCACCTTTGTTTATATTAAATTCATTATTTGTAGGTGGAAATTAAGATAGGAATTAATTTTGCAATAAGTGATAATTTGCACATAATGCAGTAATTTAACCATATCTTTTTCTCTAGGTATCAGATTGAGTTGATTCTTTAGGCATTGGAAAGCTAAGAAGGAGAGCTACAATTGATGTTTATGAGCTCAACCCAGTTCCTTCTGTATCAATACAGAATTTAAGTTGAAGTTGACGGTTTTGACAATGGACAGAGTGCAGAAATAAAGAGACTTGGGCTGTGTTTTCTAGGTGTGGGCCAACTGTAGTCCAGACCCAAAATAAAGCCCATAAATGTCTACTAGGGTTAAAAGAAATAAGGGTTTCTAATTTCTCAATATATATAGAAGCTACTCGACAGAATGAGGAGAAGCCCTAGAGACGCATGAGGAGTTGTTCTGCGCAAGAGGTCAAGAGCACTCAGCCGCCCAAAATCCCAGCCACTCGCATCTGTTGTTCACTAGTAGAAGAAGAGGACACCAACACGCAATACCCAATCAGTTCGCATCTGAACAAAGAGAAGAAGCCCCGAAAATCTGTTCACTAGCAGAAGGGAGAATGCCCACCCAGATCTGTTCGTGAAAGAGTCAACGCCGCCGACAGCCTCTGTTCTTCTCAACCAGCTTTGTTAGGGAGGGATAGTAGCACAAGTTTGGCTTGTTCTTCATTGGACGGGTGTTGTTGATTCTTAATTTAAATTTTTTATCATGATTGTCTGCTGGAATTACCGAATTATGGCTGCTGTTGACAACATAATCATGCATAGCTAAATTTCTTTGAACTAGGGATGGATAGATTTTAATTTTTGGAATATGTGACTGTTTTTGTTAGTTTAATTCAAGATTTATTGGTTATTTGCATGATGAGTTTATATTATTGAGTTTAATGCATTGAGAGCCTGATCACCTTTCAATTGATTTAGTGATTTATGCATGAACTTAAGAAAGAATTGTGTAAATTAGACCAATAATAATATAAACCGTGTGTTAGACTATGAGACCAAGAGGTAATTAGCTCACATGTGGTAGTGGAGGAAGAGAAGAGAGTTAGTAGCTCCCCCTTCTTAAGCTAGAGGTTTTCATAGAATTTAATGCTCATTAGTTTGTTTAAAATTATATAGAGATATGATTAATTTAGCAAACAAATGAAGGATTAGCTTGACTTGAGAAAACTGGTTAATTAATTTAGGAAAATCCACCATCTCATGCAATAACACTATTATTTGAACTTGAATTAAATTAATGAAACAGGTGCATAATTCAGAATTAAATGAAATCCAAACCCTAGTTCCTTCTCATTCATAGTTTCTTTAATTTAGAAAATTCTTTAGTTTAATTTTCTTTAGTTTATTTAGTTTTCTCTTAAATAGTTTAATTTTCCCCATTAATTGGTTGATTCAACTTAGGTTAGATTAATAGTGTCTTGGTAGTATAGGATAGTTCTCGAGGGAACGATATCTTACTCATTTGCATAATCGATTAGGTTCACTTGCCTAGAAGTAGTGTGTATTTGGTGCATCACTTATTCTTTATGTCCCAGGACTCGATCTTTTATTTAAATTTATTTGGATTTTTCATGAAAAATTATATATATAAGTCACGAAAATAATCAAACATCATAAAAAAAATTTATAAAATGTCAAAACAAACACAAAATTATAAAATTATAAAATTTTCTCTTTTCTTTAACTAATATATCTTTATTTTTGTTTAAGGTGTTAAGTGCAAAAAGAAAGCTTCAAGAAGAGAATGAAGAGAAGAAATTCAAAAGAGGGGACTCAATTGAAAGAATTTAAAATTCAAGGTTAAATTATAAAGATCATACAAAGGCCTTGAAGTTCAGCCCATTTACACTTCAAATCCATAATGGCCCAACTCCATAAAAAATCAACCCAAAAATACTAAACCCAAGTTTAGCCCAAACCCAAGTTTAGCCCAAACCCAACAAAAACCCTAGCTTCCTTTCTCTTTTAAGAGGAGGATGAAACAAAGCAAGATGGCAGAACTAGGAACGAGGCAGCAAATCGAAAAATGGAAGAAAGATCTCTTTACTCCTTTCTCAGCCTTTCTCCTTTTCTTAAAAGAAAAAATAAAAATCCCTAGAATCTTCTACAGCCAGTTAGCCTCCCCCAAGCCCTTGTTGACTCTGATCTTCACCATCCTCTTGCCGATCTCATCATCATCACAGCCTCCACCACCATCATCAGTTACCACCAAAGCAAAGGGGTTTGGCAACCGCCTACAAAAATCTCTCCCTTCTTCAAAGATCTTTGGGTTTTTCCTACTTAAAAAAAAAAAACAACACTACTTCACCTCCGATTATCCGACCATTCTTTCAATCTCATCATCATTGCCATCATCGGTCACCACCAAATAGGGATAGCGATCAGAAAGGGGAGAATGTATGAGATTTGGTTTTAAACGAAAGAAGGAGATCAATTTTGCTGGCCGGAGGTAGAAAAATAAAGAGGAAAAAGGAGCCTAGGTAGCATACCTTTGGGGTGTTCTTGCTTGAGGTAATCTTCTAAAACAGAGGGTTTTTTAGGAAAGGTAGTGAAGGAAACGCTGGTAGCTTGATCTCGTGGATGGGATCCCTCCCGTCAAATTTGGATCTACCTTCTCTTGAAAGTTTTGCCATGTTTGCAATTTTATCATTGTCTGTTGATTTGTCCTTGTGTTCTTTTGTATATGTGTTTATACCATAAATTGCAAAATTTTAAATTAATGCCAC